CCTGTCTTCTACGCAAGCCAGTGGGTGTTGCAGTCCAGCCTGATCCTGCCCAGCACACACTTGGCTCCTACACAAACCAGTGGGAGCTGCAGCCTAGAATGAGTGACCCGCAATAACCCCACCAGGCCCGCCCCTGCCCTGGTTCCTGTGCTTGCCAGTCTGTCCCACATCCCATTCAGCTCTCATACATGTCAATGGGCATTGAAGCGCCCAACCAGCCCCACTGTCCAGCCCACACATGCCAGTGGGTGCCGTTCTGTCTAGCCAGTGCTGCCCCAGTCTTGGTTTTCATGCTCTCCCATGGCAGTGATAACCCAAGAGGGAGGTGCCAACTATTTCCCTACTGGGCCACTCCCACTCCCAGAACATGCAGTCTGCAGGTGGTTTGCTACCCAGATCTCATCCCACAGTGGCACTGTGGCAACCCTGGAGGCAGGCAGCCGTGGCTGCTGTGGCTCTGTTTATTCCCGTGGAACACGCAGTGCCCCACTCAGTAGCTTGGACCAGCCGGTTTATTCTTCACTCCCCGGTCACTCCTCGAGTGGGCCATGACCCTGTTGGGTGACCACGAGGCTTTGGCTTTGTCACACAGGTTCCAGCATCCTCCCAGCCCCCCAGCGAGGACAGCAGAAGCTCAGAGCACAAGGCAAGTCTGCCATTCAGCCTTCGGTCCAAGCGAGCCAGGAGGCCGCTGGCCCAGGGAGGGGCAGCAGAGCAGTGAGGCCATGGGACGTGGCCGTTGCCCTCACCCCACTGATGGGCGCTGGAGAGGCTGGAGGGCTGTTCACCGGCACAAGGTGAAGGGCAGAGGTGGGACTCAAGCCCCTCCCAGACGGCCTCTTCCCCTCAGGCTCCTCCGAGCCCCTTATGTCTACCTGCATAGCAGGTCTGACCCTTGCCCCGGCTGCTCCCTCTGCAAGGCAGGAAGCACTAGGCCTTAGCAACAGGCTGCAGGGGTGCCTGGCACCTCCCTGGGCACAGCTCAGAGGCCTGTGGCTCTCAGCAGCTAATCAGCCTCTTTGTCCCAAGCTTTCAGTGCCCATGGCAACGGCTGTGGCTGAGAGCCAGTGAAGGCTGCAGAGGCTGCCCTGCCTGGGAAGCGGCCGTGGCTTGCCCCCGGGGCCTGGGGAGTCCCCTTGCATCCTGGAGAGAAGCTCCTGGATTCTGGCCTCTTGCTGCCAGAGTACACAGCCTCTGACGGTTGTCCCCTGAAGGACACCTTCCTTCCTTTAGGGCCTGACTGGTGGCCTGTCAGAGACCCTTCAGGTGAGGACCACACCCCTGGAGCTCTCCCCACCAGTCCCATGTTCCAGCTTTCAGATAGGCTCTGCTGGGTCCAGTGCAGTAGCCTAGTGGCTAAAGTCCTCGCCTGGTATCTGCTGGGATCCCAAATGGACACTGGTTCGTGTCCCAGCTGTCCCATTTCCCATCCAGCTCCCTGCTTATGGACTGAGAAAGCAATAGAGGACAGCCCAAAGCCTTAGGACTCTGCACCCATGTGGGAGACCCAGAAGAAACTTCTGGCTCCTGGCTTTGGATCAGCTCAGCTCTGGCTGTTGCAGCCACTTGGGAAGCGAATCAGCAGATGGAAGATCTTTCTCTGTATCTCCTTCCGTCTGTAAATCTGCCTTTCCAATAAAAATAAAAAATCTTAAAAAAGAAAAAGAAAAGGCAGGCTCTGCCTCCCCAAGAGGAGGGGCTGGGGTCTGCTGAGTGCCAGCTGTCACCCAGGAAGGCAAGAGGGCCAGGGCTGAGCGTCGCTGCAGCCCTGCCACTCCTGGCTCAAAACCTGCAGACAGAATGTGGGGAGGGGAACCAGTCAGGGCTTAGGAAGTCCCTCTGCCTCTCGGAGTCTTTCTGTCAGTGGTAAAGTGACGGCAGTCCCCGCTTCATGCAGCATGTCTGAAGTGTAAACGTGATATTACCCCGTAGACTTCCTGTGCGAGGCTTTGCATGAGTCCATAGTGCGTGGTAGGCCCTGGGCTTGGTGTGCCCGCTGGGGCAGTGGGACAATGCCACAGAGGTGGGAGGGTTCTGAAGCATTGAGGGTGAGCGGCAGGAGCAGGCTGGAAAGAATGAGGGCTCTGGGGGCGCCCACCTGCACCAGTGCTGAGCACCCCAAGGCCCTCTGGTGCCTGGGCAAGCCGGCTGCTCACAGCGGATGGAGGTCTCGGGCTGACCGTCATCAGGAGCAGACTCGCCTGCCATGGCCCTCCGGCTTCCTGGCCCGGGGTGGCGGCAGCTCAGGTCAGCTCTGCTGTGCGGGCGGCAAGGACCGGAGAGCACCCGTGTGGCTTCTTAGGGTCTGCAGGAGGGACGCGAACCCAGGCACTGTGTGGTGCTGAGGCCAAGCTGCGTCGCAGCCGCCGTGCCAGACACCTGCCTCTGTTTCTCATTTATTTTCGCTGTCAAAGCCAAGTAGTCTGACGAAAACCAGGCTTACACAGCTCTGCGAGCGGCTCTCCACCGGAGGCTGGGAGGGCAGGGGCGCGGTCCTTGTGGACGGTGGATGGGCAGGAAGGAATGGAGACCGTCCCGGCCGGCCGCCAGCGCAGTGTGTCCAGGGAAAGCTCCCAGCTCTGGGACAGCCGAGGCATGTGCTGGTCTCGCAACTTGGGAAGCGTGCCGTATTCCTCAGGAAGGCAGGCTGGGAGGGGGAAGTGTGAAAGCAGATGGAAATGTAATTTTTTAATGACAGCAGCAGATGGCAAAAAGACACAAGAGTGTATTCACACCATGCCGGAGCCATTTGAGAGCGCCTGGCCCAGCCGTAATGTGCGCACTGGGGCTGTCGCGATGGCTCCCCTGCCAAACCCAGGAGTCGGCAAGCTGCAGGCAGGAACACGAAGGCCCACTGGGGAGGGCAGAGGTGCTGCCAGGCGCTGCGGTGCCACAGGTAGACGGCGGGGGGGGCAGGGGGCAATACCTGTGGCTGTGCTGGGTGCTTCTGGGCCCCAAAGACACAGTGGGTGGCTCTGGATTCACATAGGAACTGCTCCCCCCAGCTCCTGGTGCCCGAGGCTGCCCCTCTAGCTCAGACCAGCACCAGGCTCTCCTGCCTCCAGGTGAGTCTCCTGTGGCTGGACTGCTTCCCAGCCTGGTCTCCATCTAGTCCAGCTGCTCTTCCAAAATGCAAACCGATTGCATCACCCCCCACCTGTAGGCCTGCAGTGCTACCAGGCGCCTTCAGGGTCAAAGCATCAGTTGGCCCGTGGCAGTCCTCTGTGGCCTTGCGCGGCCTTTAGGAGACCGGTGGTCCAGGAGTGCTGACTGATGATTGGGGGCTTCTGGAAGCAGTAGCCACAGGCACCGGCTGAAGGCCCTGCAGGAGGCGGCCTGGTTAGCACAGAGGCACAGGTGCCTGCTGTCACACAGCAGGCAGGGTGGGAGCCACTAAGGAGTGAGGGGGCCTCCGCTCCAGCACTGCACCCACCCCTTCCCCGGGGCGTCTCCCCTGCACCCCTGCCTTGTTACCACCAGGACAGTACTCTCAGCGCCTCTGCAGGCTCCTGCTCCCCACTGCTTCTCCGAGAACACAGGAGCAGCTGCTCTCGGCCTCGGCCCAGGCCCGGGCCCGGCTGCTCAGCTTCTCATTCCTTCGGTGCGGGGTGAGGCCGAGGGCCGGGAGCTCTTCGTGCCGGCCCTGGGTCCTCTGCACACCGGCTGTGTTGGGTTGTTCCGGGCACTTCTGTCCTTCCTGATGCTACAAGATGGTCTACGTTGGCGTCGTGTCCTCTGTGCCTGTCAAGTCCTCCAGGAGCCCTGGTTCCTCCAGGAGCCCTGGTTCCTCCAGGTGTCGAAGGCAAAGAAACCACGATTGGCCACCAGCAGCTGTGGCTGCGATGGCTGGGCCTGCCAAGGGGCCGTCGGGGATACAGGCACACTCCAGGTCAGTGCTGCCTTTACTGAGACAACACCTCCTAGCTTGGAAACAGGACTGGCCAGAGAAGGCATTTGCCCGAGTCTATCAGAACCCTGCCGCCCTCAGAGCCTGGCTCTGCGGCTCCCCATGTGCCCCGACACCTTCTACGACCGCCCTTCCTGTCTCCTGGCGAAGACCAAGAGGCTGAAGCTCGGAGTGGCCACCTGCCCGTGGGCATACACCATTAGTGGAAACCTCTAGCTGCGCACATGAGAGGCCCAAGCAAAGGACAGATGGGGGCAGGCTTCTGGGGGTCACAGAGCCCCCCGGATCGGGGTGGGGTGGGGGCTGCTCCATTTCCCAGGGAGTGATGCCTGGTCCTCACTGCAGACCCCGGCTCTGGCCTGCAGCCGGGGAGTGTGCACACCGAGGCCCTGCGGTGATTCTAACACAGGTGAGCTGGTGAAAGCTGCTTCCTCCTCGGGGTAGGCGGGAACAGACGAGCCCCATCTGTCCCGCCCAGGTACTTCCAGGTCATGAAAAGCGGAATTACAAGTTTATTTTTGTAGGAAAGAAATCTGAATGCCATGTATACAAGGGTCCTTCACGAAGTTCATGGAAAATGTGTATTCTGGAAAAGCTAAGCCAACTTCAAAAAAATTTTTGGTACCAGAATCTTTTTTTAAATGTCAATCCCACAGACTTTCTGAAAGACCCTTACTGATGGGTTGGTGCAGACTCGCCCCACTCGGAGGTGTCGCCCCTCAAACACTAATTCTCTTTCTGAAGTGTCCGGTGTGGAAGGCGCGGGCCCACGGACACTGCATTTCACAGATTTGTAACCAATGCGAAGACTAAAGACTCGCCCCAGAGCCGGGTGCTGAACTGGGCAGGTGAGGGACGGCTGGCGGTGTAGACGCGGCCCAGGCCCCGCCCTCGGCCCGGGGAAGCCGCGTGGACGCCCGCGCCCAGGTGTCAGGCAGTGCGCAGGCGCAGCAGGGGGCCTCGCGGGGAGGGGCGGAGTCGGCGCGAGGACGCAGGAAGCGAGCAGCCCACGGGACGGGGCGGGGCCGACGCGCGCCTCGGTCGGCCGGCCAATCCGCGGGCTCCCGGCGGCCGCCGGTCTCCGCCCCGTTGCGGAAGCGCCGCGTTCCGATTGGCCGCCGCGGCTGTCTTCTCTGCCGAGGGGCGGGTCCTGCGCCGTGGCGGGAAGCTGCTCCGCCATGGAGGCCGCCGAGGTGGAGTTTCTGGCCGAGAAGGAGCTGGTGACCATCATTCCGAACTTCAGCCTGGACAAGATTTACCTTATCGGGGTAAGGCGGCCCTCGGAGGGCGCGGGGCGGCCTTCCCGGGGCCTCGCCCTCACGGCCGCGCTCTCCTCAGGGGGACCTGGGCCCGTTCCAGCCCGGCCTGCCGGTGGACGTGCCCCTGTGGCTGGCGTTGAACCTGAAGCAGAGACAGAAGTGCCGCCTGCTGGCCCCCGCCTGGATGGACGCCGGTAAGCGGGCGGCCGAGGCCCGGGGGGCCCGGGAGGGCGGCGAGGGCGGCGAGGGCGGCCCGGCGGGGGCGCGGGGCTCCTGGCTTCGGGTGGGCGCAGCTCCGGCCGGGGCGGCCCTTTGGGGTGACCGCGCTGCCCTGCCCGTCCCCGGTGGCCGAGGGGCCGTTTCCGGGGCTCCCGAGCGCTCGGCCGGCTTTCCAGGGAGCTGGGCGGGACGGGGGCAGCCGGGACTCGAACCCGCAGCCGTGGGGCTCCCTGCCGACGAGCCCGCGGTCCACCCGGGTTCGGGCCGCTCCTTCACCGTCTCCCAGCGCTGGCGGGTGTTCATGTCTGATTTTTGACTTTGTCTCAGTCTTTTCGTGGATATGTTTTTATTTTGTTGTTATATCGTTTATTTTTGTTGGAAAATCAGACATGCAGAGAGGAGGAGAGACAGGGAGGAAGATCTTCTGTCCTCTGATTCTGGCCCCAAGCCGTCACAATGGCCGGAGCTGAGCTGAGCTGATCCCAAGCCAGGAGCCTCCTCTGGGGTGCAGGGTCCCAAGGCTTGGACTGTCCTCAGCTGCCCTCCCAGGCCACAGGCGGGGAGCTGGATGGGAAGTAGAGCTGCCAGGATTAGAACCTGTGCCCACATGGGATCTGGTGGATGCGGGCGAGGATTTTAGCCACTAGGCTACTGCGCTGGGCCTGTCCAAGGGCTTTTAAAAATGATGTTGATACTGAGCTCGTGTGTGATGGGGTTGCAGAACCGTGCGGGCCTCGGGTTAGGTGTGGGAGGGAGAGTGGGTGACAAATGTTGTTCTGTTGTGGGGATGGAGTGCTGCTTGCTGTTACACTGGGAGCCTGGGATGGGAGGTGACGTCTGGTGTCACCTGGGAGGTGGGGAAGATGCTCTGAGGTCACGTTCTAGAATGGGCTTGGTCGTTCTGGAATGGGCTTGGTCGTCTAGAATGGGCTTGGTCGTTCTGGAATGGGCTTGGTCGTTCTAGAATGGGCTTGGTCGTTCTAGACTGGGCTTTGGTCGTTCTGGAATGGGCTTGGTCGCCTAGAATGGGCTTGGTCGTCTAGAATGGGCTTGGTCGTCTAGAAGGGGCATGGTCGTTCTAGAAGGGGCTTGGTCCTCTAGAATGGGCTTGGTCGTTCTGGAATAGGCGTGGTCGTCTAGAATGGGCTTGGTCGTCTAGAATAGGCTTGGTCATTCTGGAATGGGTTTGGTCGTCTAGAATGGGCATGGTCGTTCTAGAAGGGGCTTGGTCGTCTAGAATGGGCTTGGTCATTCTGGAATAGGCTTGGTCATTCTGGAATGGGTTTGGTCGTCTAGAATGGGCTTGGTCGTCTAGAATAGGCTTGGTCATTCTGGAATGGGTTTGGTCGTCTAGAATGGGCATGGTCGTTCTAGAATGGGCTTGGTCGTCTAGAATGGGCTTGGTCATTCTGGAATAGGCTTGGTCATTCTGGAATGGGTTTGGTCGTCTAGAATGGGCATGGTCGTTCTAGAAGGGGCTTGGTCGTCTAGAATGGGCTTGGTCATTCTGGAATAGGCTTGGTCATTCTGGAATGGGTTTGGTCGTCTAGAATGGGCATGGTCATTCTAGAAGGGGCTTGGTCCTCTAGAATGGGCTTGGTCGCCTAGAATGGGCTTGGTCGTTCTGGAATGGGCTTGGTCGTCTAGAATGGACGTGGTCATTCTAGAAAGGGCTTGGTCCTCTAGAATGGGCTTGGTCGTTCTGGAATAGGCTTGGTCATTCTGGTATAGGCATGGTCGTCTAGAATGGGCTTGGTCATTCTAGAAGGGGCTTGGTCGTCTAGAATGGGCTTGGTCGTTCTGGAATAGGCTTGGTCGTTCTGGTATAGGCGTTGTCGTCTAGAATGGGCTTGGTCGTTCTGGAATAGGCTTGGTCATTCTGGAATGGGCTTGGTCGTCTAGAATGGGCATGGTCGTTCTGGAAGGGGCTTGGTCCTCTAGAATGGGCTTGGTCGTTCTTTGTGTCTGCATGAGTGTGCTCGTGTGTCTGTCTTTGATGAGGTCCTGGGCCGCCGTAGAGGAGCTGGCTGTGTGCGGTTCTGCTCTCCGTCCTTGCGTGGGGCTCAGCCCACAGACCTGGCATCTTCCCTGCGGTCAGCTGGGGAGCCCGAGAGGCCTGGGCGCAGGGGCAGCTGCCTGCTCGTCTTCCCCAGCCCTGGCTCTGCTGCCAGTGCTGCACCTAGAAGCCCTCCTGGCCCGCCTCGGCCCCTGCAGGAGCCAGCACCCACGCATCTCCCACGGATGGCAGGGACCCACGCTCTCGGGCGATGCATCTTTTCACTGCTTTCTTGCACGTGAACAGGGAGCTGGGTCCGATGGAGTAGCAGGGCCTTGAACCAACATTCCTGGGACGCTGGTGGCTGGCCCCTGGGTGTGCCTGTTTGTGGTAACAGACACCCACTGCGGTGGGCTTGCTGGATAACGCAGGAAGCGGCCAGCCCGTCTCCAGAGCAGGCGAGCCATTCCCATCCTCCTTCCGGAGTGTGTGGACTCCCTGCGCTGTGGCCTGGCCCTTCTGGCGGACTGGGGCAGGCGCGCAGAGCTGTTTCAGAACCTGGTTTGGTTAGAGTGAAGACTTGCTGCGCGGGGAAAGTGGAGTTGGGAGGAGGGAACAGTCCAGGGGGGCTGGAGCTGACCGGGAGACGAGGTGAGCTTTGCAGGAGGGTCTGACCTGCAAGGCTGTAGGCTTGGGGCCCTGAGAGGGCAAGCCTGGAGTGCGCTGGGGGCAGAAGTTACAGTGGGCATCATGAGGAGAGGGGGCTGCCATCTCGAGCGCCTGGCTGGCGTTGATGAGGCGTGGTGAGTGCCGGGCTGAGTAAGCCTGTGCTGTGAGTAGGCTTGGGGTGAGGTCAGAGGCTAGCTCAGGTGCAGGGAGGCCTGGGCGATCCTTGAGGTCAGAGGCTAGCTCAGGTGCAGGGAGGCCTGGGCGGTCCTTGAGGTCAGAGGCTAGCTCAGGTGCAGGGAGGCCTGGGCGGTCCTTGAGGTCAGAGGCTAGCTCAGGTGCAGGGAGGCCTGGGCGGTCCTTGAGGTCAGAGGCTAGCTCAGGTGCAGGGAGGCCTGGGCGGTCCTTGAGGTCAGAGGCTAGCTCAGGTGCAGGGAGGCCTGGGCGGTCCTTGAGGTGAGAGGCTAGCTCAGGTGCAGGGAGTGCTGTGGCTTGGGAGGCAGGAGGGCTGAGAGTGGGTGTGCGCAGCGTCAGTGTTTGCAGTAAGCCGCAGGGAGGACACGGGCCCTCGAGGCCCACCCAGAGAGTTGTTTTGGTGTGTGCCTGGGAGTCTGAGGGAGGGTCCAGGACACCCTTGGGCGGCTGGGATGGGCGAGGCGCACTCAGCACGGTGTCCGGTGAGCTGAGGTGGGGCGGTGATGGAGGAGAGTGGGCGCCCAGACGGGGGCTGGAGCTGGATGGCTGGCCAGCGCCACGACCCTGCCTTGGGGGCTCACCTGTCTAGGGGGGCCCAAGGCAGGGTTGTGACTGCACCACACACTGCACTCTGGCCAGCAGGCCGGTTGAATGGGCACGCCTGCTGGCCGACTCCAGCTACTGGGCTGAGCTGCCCAGGCTGTCACAACACTGCGGCGAGGAGTTTGTAAATTGTCTTTTTTCTTAAATAGATTCTTTTTTTTTCTTTTTAAAGATTTATTTATTTATTTGAAAGTTAAAGAGAAGGAGAGAGATGGGCTATCTTTCGGGCCTGGTGCTAAGTCTTTAAAAAGAGAGATTTTTCATCTGTTGGTTCACTCCCCAGATAGCCATGATGGCCAGCTGGACCCTGGAGCCTCCATCAGGGCTCCCGTGGGAGCAGCAGGGGTCGTCTTGGACCGCCTTTCCCTGCTTTTCTCAGGACATGAACTGGTGCCTGAGTGGGGCGCCAGCACGGCTGGCGGTGACTTTACCGGCTGTGCCATGACACTGTGCCAAGGTTGATGTGTTTATTTGGAAGGCAGGGCGGTGGACGTGGACAGACTTCTGTCCTCTAGCCGGCTCCCTGAAGCCCGCACAGCCGGGGTGGAACTCCATCCTGCCCTTTCAAAGCTTGGCCAGCACGGCTTTCCCAGCACCCGAGCGGGGAGTGGCGGAGGTTCCAGGCAGCCCGACGTGGGCGGCCAGCACTGCACACGCGGGCTTGCCTGGGAAGCCGGAGCGCTGCCCCCAGACTGATTTGGTTTAAGATTTTATTTACTTTTTATTTAAAAGGTAGACTTACAGAGAGGAAGAGGGGGTTCTTCGCCTGCTGGCCCATTTCTCAGACGGCCACAGTGGCCAGAGCGGGGAGCCTCTGCTGGGTCTCCCCAGGGGGCTTTGGGCAGCCACTGCTGTTTGCCTCAACCCCCGCCCCCCAGCTCATGTTAAGGAAAGGCCTCAAATCATTATGCCACAAAGTGTGTGAGCAAATAGATCATATTGGCATTTGGTAAGTTGGGGAGGTTTAACAGTATTTTGGATGTAGTGAAGTGAAATGTTGTAACCTCTGCATTTCAGAAAAGTTGGAGAAGATGAGGGACCATGAACGAAAGGAAGAAACTTTCACCCCGATGCCCAGCCCTTACTACATGGAGCTCACCACGCTCCTGCTCAATCAGTAAGTAGGTCCGCGGGCTGGGCTCTGCTGCCCTCCGGCCCCGCCCACCGCCACGGGCCCGCCCACCAAGGCCCCGCCCACCGCCACGGCCTTGCCTAGCACACGCCCACCGCCGCGGCCCGCCCACCAAGGCCCGCCCACCAAGGCCCCGCCCACCGCCACGGCCTTGCCTAGCACCACGCCCACCGCCGCGGCCCGCCCACCAAGGCCCCGCCCGCCGCCGCGGCCCGAGCGGCTCAGCCGTCATCACGTGGCTCAGCCGTGATCACGTGGCTCAGCCGTGCTCCTTGGCGCGTGCACACGTGCTCTGCCTCCACAGCACTATCTCAGTCGTCTTTTTGCTTTCCTTTTTTTTTTCATTTGTAAGATTTATTTATTTGTTAATTTATTGGAAGGGCAGATAGATACACAGAGAGGAGAGAGGGAGAGGAAGATCTCCCGTCCATTGATTCACTCAAGTGACCACAACGGCCAGAGCTGAGCCGGTCGGAAGCAGGAGCCTCTTTGGGGCTCCCACGTGGGTCAGGGTCCCGAGGCCTTGGGCCGTCCTCGATCCTTTCCCAGGCCACAGGCGAGGCGCTGGGTGGAAGTGGAGCCGCCAGGATCCCATTCAGGTCCAGGACGTTAGCTGTCAGGCCAGCGCGCCAGGCCCTCACAGTACAGCTTTAGGAGCTTGCTGATGCACAGCCTCCCCCCTTCCCAGATCCCCACTGCCCTTCTGCTTTAATTTCTTTCCGTCTTGTTTTTACGACCGCATGCTGTCATTTCAGTTTGCAGTCACAGGTTTAACACTCCAGTAAGCAAAGGTATCAACAGCTGGCATGCAGAAAATACTAAGAACAACAACAAAAAAAACCCAAATAACATAAAAAACAATGCCTAATCTGTGGGTGTGTAACAAAGCCGTGCCCAGCCCAGAACGGCACTCTGCCTGCCGATCGCAGTGTGGCGCTGTGTGTCGGCCATCACACATAGGAACCCTTGGTGTTTGTCTTTGGGGACCGGCACATTTCTTCAAGCCAGTGGTTTCTGATTGCGTCCTGTGGATGCGAAGGACAAGATGCCATTCTCTTACGGCCCAGCAGCGTCCACGGTGCACGCTACCTAGCCGGCTCTCGGGGGGCTGCAGGCGACCCCCCACCTGGTCCCCTCGGGGTCTTCCCGGGAGTGGGGAGGCCGCTCCTGTGGCACGGGGGGTGTTTTCCGTGAGCTCTGCAGCAGTGAGGGCGCCTTTCCTGAACAGCCTGTCAGCTGTGCCCTTCCCTGGTGTCTGTGCTAGTCAGGGTGCCTGGGGGGCGGTGAGACTGTGTGTGTGTGTGTGTGTGTGTGTGTGTGTGTGTGTGTGTGTGTGTGTGTGTGTGTGTGTGTGTGTGTGTGTGTGTGTGTGTGTGTGTGTGTGTGTGTGTGTGTGTGTGTGTGTGTGTGTGTGTGTGTGTGTGTGTGTGTGTGTGTGTGTGTGATGTATCTTACTTGAAAGGCAGAGTGAAACAGGAGAAGCTGGTTCACCCACAGATGGCTGCAGCAGAGGTGGGCTAACCTGGAGCCACCAGACAGGAGCCTTTGCAGGGTCTGCCACGTGGGTGCAGGGGCCTTGGGCCGTGTTCCGCTTGCTTTCCCAGGACCTAAGTAGGGAGCAGGATGGGAAGAGGAGCAGCTGGGACCCGAGCCGGCAACCATGTGGGGTGCCAGCGCCTGCTGGTGGGCGTTAGCCGGCTGAGCCGCCCTGTGCTCTCCTGTTACAGCTTGCAGGCTGGAGGTGTGACGCCTGCAGGGGCCTGTCGTGTTCCCGCGTGGATCTTTCTCTGGATTGGAGAGGAGTGTCGAGTGTTTGCTAGGGTCACACTGACCCTGTAAGTGCCTTCAGGGCTGTGGACAGGTGCCGTGCGCAAGCATGCCAGGGCCTGCCTTGTTTGCTGTCATCTTCGATTTCTTTCAAGTTTTATAATCTTCAATGTTGAGATCACTCATACTGGTTAAGTTATTCCAAGGTATTTTACTTTTTAAAAATATTTTTATGGCAAAGAGAGGAGGGAAGGCAGAGGGGAAGAATCTTTGTTGATTCCCTCAAGTGGCCACAACATCTGGAGCTGAGCCTACCTGAAGCCAGGAACTCTTCCGGGTCTCCCACGCGGGTACAGGGTCCCAAGGCTTTGGGCCGTCCTCCACTGCTTTCCCGGGCCACAGGCAGGGAGCTGGAAGGGAAGTGGAGCTGCCGGGAATGAGCTGGTGCCCATATGGTTCCTGGCAGATGCAAGATGAGGATTTAGCCATTAGGCTATCGCTCTGGGCCCCAAGATTGATTTATTTTTATTTTATTTATTTAAAAGATGTATTCAATTTTATTGGAAAGATTTACAGAGAGAAGGAGAGACAAAGATCTTCCATCTACTTGTTCACTCCCCAAGTGGCTGTGATGATGATCCAAAGCCAGGAGCCAGGTCTCCCACGCAGGTGCAGGTCCCAAGGCCTTGGGCTGTCCTCCACTGCTTCCCCAGGACACAGGCAAGGAAGTCCTCCACTGCTTCACCCAGGACACAGGTGCCCGTATGGGATCTAGTGCATGCAAGGTGAGGACTTTAGCTACTAGGCTACCTGCCAGGCCCCAAATTTAGTTTTAGTACTGTTTGTATAGTTGAGAGGGATGCGTGGCTCTGTGGGTCTCCCATTCAGGTGGGACACATGCTTCAGTCCCTCTGTGTGCAGGAGGGGCGCTGCTCCTGGCTGTCTAACCCCGATAGCGCCCAGGGGTGAGAGCAGTCCTTTGAAGGCCCCATAGGGACCCCATGTGGGGAGAGGGTTCTGAAGGAGTTAGTTGATGCGTTTGATAGTTGCGAGAAGCTGTTTGTCTTGTTGCTCCAGGGTTGAGAAAATCTTTGCAAGGTGTGCTGGTTGACCAAGTCCATGTCCGTGCATCCACAGACCCAAGGACATGCTGCCGAGCTCGGCCAGGGCATCCTCTGAGGAGGCAGTCGATGTGCCCTGCTGGCCTAGAGGAGCTGCCCGCATGTCCCCGTGTGCGTCTGGACATGTTGTCCACCACACAGGCATCAGCAACTGAGGTGTCAGACCGGCGGGTGCTGTGGCCTAGCCTGGCCTGCCTCAGCCATTCAGGCTTTCTGGAGTACCAGCAGGTGCCCATTGATGCTGCAGCCCTGCCCGGCCTGCCCTGCCCACAGCCCCAGCTCTTGCATCACCAGTGGGAGCTGCAGCTCAGCAGGGGTCCGCAGGGTTCCCTTACCAGACCCTTCCCAGCCCCCTGGGTCTTTGGTGCACTGGTGAGTGCTTCGAGCCAGCCTGGTATGGCCCACCTGCAGTCTTAGCTCTTGTTAGCAGATGTTGCAGCCCAGCACAGCCGGGTGTGCCCCACACCCTGTCCTGGTTGTCCTGTGTGCCAGTGGGGGCTAAGGCCTGGCCCTGGCCAACGCCGGTCCCTGCTCTTGCGCTCCCCAGACGGAGCTAAGGCCTAGTGGGGTAGTTGCCCAATTTCACCTACCAGACCTGCACCAGCCCTGGATCTTACAGATACAACAGCCCTGCTTGGCACAGTCTGCCCTCAGTCCCGGCCCTGGCATACACTGGGAAGTCCTGCAGCCTGGCTCCGCCCACGTCCCCGCCCATGTCCCCACCCCAGTTCCCATGAATGTCAGGCAGCTGCTTGTTTAGGTGAGTTCCGTGGTTCAGCCTGACTCTGGGCCAATACCAGCCCAGTTCTCTGCCTAAACCGGTGGGTCCTGCGGTCCCCTGCAGGCGACCCGACAATTGCCCTACGGTCTGACCCCCACCTCGGCCTCTTCTGGCGGTTCAGCAGTCCAGCCTGACTTGGCCCACCCCCTGCCCTGATACTCACAGGTGGTACACTCCAGCCCCTGGTTTGGGCAGTGCCAGCGGTTGACGGGTGATGCTCGCCTAGCCCAGGTCTCCCACAGGGGTGGGTGCCTCGGCTTAACCCAGACAGGCCCTGCAGTTTCCCCCCCTCCAAGCCGCTCAGCCCCCTTGCCTACCTGCGAGTGTAGTGGCGTGGCCCGTGTGACCCCAGGGATCATTCCCCTAGCCCCCGCTCCAGTAGGTCCCCGTATCTTCTCAGTCTGCAGCTGCCCTGCGGGGGTTAGGGTAGTGTGTCCTGGTCTGGAGTTTACACTTTGCCCACTTGTCTTAAAGAAAAAGAAGAAGCTGGCACACTGGTATAGTTAACACCAGTTTGGCATCAACCAGCCCAAATGCCCACCGCTGTTAGCTGCCTTTCTCACCCGCCTGGGGGCAAGGCATTCCGGGCAGGGTGGGTGGATTTTCATTGGGAAGGCGGAGCTTCCTGTGCAGCGCGGCTCTCACTGCGGGCTCTCGCTGCCGCCTGTGTGTTTTGTCGTCAACTTCGTTTGTTTCCAGGGACTTTGGATTTCTTCTGTGACACGGTGTTCATTCAGTAGTGTGTTTAAAAATTCCTTGAGCTGTTGATTTTGTTTCACTCTCTCTGGTGCCCGGGAAGGAGACACTGGGCTCAGCTGTTTTGAATTTGCCAAGAGTTGCATTGTGGCTTATCACGTGGTCTGTGTGGAGTCGCTCCCAGGAGCTGGTGGAGAGGCAGTGAGGCCCTCCGGTCCGCAGTGTAGACTGGCTCTGTTGTTTATTTGCTGGTTTCCTGTCTGATCTCTGTGGGTGAGGGTGGGTGTTGACACCCCCCAATGTTGCTGTTTTCGAGTTTGTGTCCTTTGAGCTCCATGAACACTTGTTTTAAATAGCCAGGGCCTGTGCAAGCTCTGTGGTCACTTCTGACTGCACTGGCCGCAGCCGCTGTCCCTGCTGCCCGCTGGCGTGCAGGGTCTGTCTTGTAGTCAGTCAGTAGGGTCATGATTTCAATCCATTAAAGCAGTCTGTCCTTTTTTAAATATAAAGATTGATTAATTTTACTTGAAAGAGTTAAAAAGAGATCTGCTGGTTCACTCCCCAGATGGCTGCCATGGCCGGAGCTGTGCTGATCTGAAGCCAGGAGCCCTGATCCTCTT